AAAATGCGTGCATGAAGATACGCCAGCATCTGCCGTGTCCGAAACAGACGCGCCAACCACCCTGCCCTTGACGACGGGCAGTGCGCCTGCCTCCCCGCCGCCACATGTCCGAGAGTCCAGAGACCGTTCCACGTGGAAGGGGCCCTCTGTGGCAAGATTTCCATCACCCCTCGCGCGACTCGAAACGGCGGAACGTCCCAATGGCGGAACGTCCCCCTCCGACGGCGCCGCCGCCGCCGCGGGCCGACGTTTTCGTTTCAACACGCCGTGGCGATTATCCCCGAAGGAGCTCTCGGGCACGTGGGGCGAAACGTCGGGCCTTCGTGCCGAAATACGCGTTTTTGGGAACCGGAAAATGCTTCCGGGACACGTACGGCAAAACGTTAGCAACAACAGAACACCTGCCGAGGAAATGCAGTGCACACTTTGACAAAAATGTAAGCGTTTGTGGAAGGACTTTGAGCGATGCACGAGTACAGTGCGCAGACACTTCAAACGGAGGACTCCTTGTGACCAGGCGCTCAATGAGGCCGTTACGGCGGAGCGCAGCACCGCACACCCCGCCGTCACGCATGTGAGCACACACACACACACATGCGGTCATAGAAATGGGTGAACGTTTACCAATAAACACTTCTGTCAATGTAGCACGGCGTCGCGTATCCGACTTGCTGGGGGCCGAGGTATTCGAGGTCGGATGCGCGAACGTCTCTGGAAGGCGACCAATTACATCGTGCGCTAACACCTGCACTGGGCGGTTAGTGGGTAAGGGCGGATATGTGACGGTCTGATATGCGACGTTGCAAAGTATCATTCTATGTAACGTCTTATTTTAACAGCTTACCCTAATCTGGGGCCTTCACACAGTTGAAAATTAATCTTTAGTTGTAATTTAAACATTGCTGTATTTGCACAGAGAGAAACTTCAACAAGTCTCAGGACCGCTTGCCGAAAGATTCCACCGTGGAATGTTTGGCCAGTTCCTTTTTCAGTATTTGTTGAATGTCAGTTTAAAAAAATAAAAATCCACGGATGATTTGTCGAGAAATATCCCAAGCACGTTGCAACATTCTCCTCCCACTTTGCACGACGGCTCAATACCCTACTTGCTGTACCTCTTTGTCCTCGCCGTGTGTGTGTGTGATGCACCCAATGTTTCCACCTCTACATGACCCACCAACTCCAGCGCAGAGACGTTTAACTACAACCACATAGACACAAAAGCAGAGCCACGGTCAAAAAGATAAGAGGCGCAAATCCTGCAATTGCTTGCTCACTCCACTGCTGTCCAAAGGGCCTCCACCGGAGTTGAGCTATAGAGAGGGTATTTGGCCTACTCTTCCACGTTGCCCAGACGTCTTGGAAGAGGTGGACGCACCCACACTTTTACCCCACCATCCGTCACCTGCCGATCAAACTATAATTGGGATGGACCCATTTAGACGGAACTGCCGGCTGGACAGAAGCGGGAGGAGAGTGTGGATTTAAGAAACTTGCCTCGTTTATTTCGACTGGCAATGTCGGGAACTCAAATCAAACTGGCGCCCTCCTGGATTGCCAAGCCCTGCGTTCAAAAGCCATGACACTGTGGTGGCGTCCAAAGCCACGCAACTGGGTCGAAGCGACAGCGAGTCGTGTAAACATCTGGTACGTTTTTATTAGGAGCTGTCGCCAAGCAATTTCTCCAAGCAATCTCAAAAAAGGAAATTCTTTAGCAGCCCCAAAATAGGCTCGGTGATATACTCCAGAAGCAGGGGAATGGGCTATATTAAGCCAACATGTGGCAGCATTAGGGTAAAGCAATAAGGTGAAATAAATGCAGCAATTCCTCTGTGGCATGTTAGACATGCCTTGGCATAAAAGACACATTTATTTTTGGTGGGTTTTGTGCAACATTTGAGGAAAAAATGTTAAAGGTATTTATTTAAAATATGATTAAATAACCCCACACACTTTGGCTGAGTTGGAACAGAAGTATGCAGGATGTAATTCAGCCTTTATTAAAAAAAAATACTGCGTTAAGGAACCACAACAGATTAAGTTCTTATGATTATAATCATGTGTCATTTTTCCATAGTCAATCAAGACATGTAAATGAATCGTGGCATGCTTGACATGTGATTTATTATCTAAAGGTGCAGCCCTCCAATATCTTGCTCACTCCACTGCTCGTAGGAGGCGCCTCCACGAGTTGGATCTCAACATTTGGCCTACTCTTCCCACCACATTCGACCGACCATATCTACTGAAGATTTGACAGTCTGTTGGAACGTACGCGGTGTTCCTTGAACAACTAAATACCAAGCCTAAGTGCAATAATCAGCCCAAAGTTCACGGATGATGTCAATGTATTGCCGTGCAATAACAGACTCACTGGAGCCGAGAGCAAGTTTTGTTAAACAACGCAAGACCTCCTGCCCCCCTTTAACCCACAACAGCCGTGACTCCGTGTCCCTACAAACGCCACCGCTCCCACATCTTGCATCTCCCCACAAAGGCGCCTTCTTCCTTGGCAATACTTTTTTTTTATCCCAGCAGAGGGAAAAACAACAACGCTCGTAGCAACAACGCAGATGCACACGACCGCCACACCGCGTGTTACGAACAGAGGAAGCACATGATAGCAAAATCATTTCAACGTCTCCTGCTGGTTGGCTCCGTCTCTCGTTCCACATAACACACCACCACCCTTGGCTCTCATGGGAGCTGCTCAGAGCGAGAACTAAACTGAAACCTAAATATATTTTTATTTTACCAGGCAAGGCCCACCGAGCTATGTAGCTCTTTTTTCAGAAGCGACCTGGACACAAATGAAAGCTCAACGAAGTGGCTTAGGCACGTGGACATTTATAGCAGCCAAATACTCTAAATGCATGTTTCTAAATGTGGAGGGGAAAAACCGGAGGACCCGGGGAAAAATCCACGCGACCATGGGGAGAACACGCAAACTCCACATATACAGGCGTCAGCGCCGGGATCAGGATCGAACCCACGACCTCCTGTATACCAGGCGAGGTAGTTAACATCTCGCTACTGCAGCGCTCACGATGGCAGGTTACACAGACCCCCTGTACTCTCAAAGGAGAAATTGTCAGGTTCAACCAATGGGCACTCCCGGTCCCCCTTGCTGGATGCAGGCCTCCCCACGCAAGTGCCGATTGTGTGGGTGTGTGACCATACTTCACCACGCCGCGGCTTCGTGAAGGCAGGGGAGCGTCGGGGTGAGAGTAGCAGAAGCACAGTGCATAAACTGATTTTGATGAACCACAATCTGGGTGCTCACAGTTTTGGCCACGGAGTTCAACTTATAAATGTTGTTCTTAACTTGGATGGCTGGTGCTAAATAGGTCAACATATACTGACAAATTATGTCTGGGAAAACTCTTACATCACAGCAATCGCCTGGTCATTATAGTGATGTGTAATGAACACAAAGCCAGATCGTAAGCAACTAATCCGTAACAATCCTATGTATTCACCTGATAAAGCCTCAATGAGCCTTAAGGCTATTTTACATCGGGATGTTTGGCCAATTCCTTTCGTGCGTGGTTTGGGCTTTCATACGAAGGGAATTGGGAATTCCCGGAGAACCCCACCCCCTCCCACACGCTTACAATGCGGGAGTGGCACTCAACAATGCTTTCTCCTCGGACGCTTTTGGGTTTTCCATCCAACATATCAACCAGGCTCAATTTCCCCTGCTGAGCGTGCAGAGATCGAATGCGTTCGGGTACATTAAGTTGTGATTCGCCCAGTGCGGTGTGTGAACGGACGCGTTCAGGAGGGGGTGGATAAAAACTGCAGTGGCAACAACTTCGAGCTGACATGACACTACCGTGTATATATGCACACATGCGCAGAGAATATGGAAGGGTCAGCATGAGTTTTCACTGACAATGAACTATGCACGAAGCCACCACCACCACGACCATCCGTCCACCGGTACAACTGAGCCTACACCGTCGGCGTAATTTGGAAACAAACACGGAATTCTCTCGCCGACAAGGTTACAACTTGAAGTGCTGGCCGGGGTTCAGCGACTATGTCTCTCCTTTGGCGAGAGAATAAAGCAATAATTATACACTCAAAGAAGCTCGCAGCGGCGATTTAAATAAACATTGCTGATTTGGACGCGCCGACTAGACACACTCCTCTCGCGCCTGCTTTAAGTAAAGGACGAGAGGATGATTCACACGGAGACATTACGGCCAATACATACCCGCCCGCCCTCCCTCCAAGTCCCCTGAGTCCCCCTTGCAATAATAAGCATTGACGAAGTTAAACATAGCCCAGCACAGCAATGGAACCCGCTTAACGCTAAATGTAAAACAGACACCACAATCACCACGATTATAGCACGGCCGTCTCACGAGCACAGTGCACAACTTTTAAGGAATCGGCGCTTGTTCACAGCTCTACAAAAATAAATTACACGGCAAGCTACTGTTGGTGGGAGGGGGAATGTCCCTTCTTACAGTCCCGAAAAGGGCCCATGGCCTGAAACATTAGTCTGCTATGCAGAGGTGCTTGTCTCGTCAGGCAGTGTTAATTATGTGGTGGTGGTTGCGATGGATGTTTGCACAACGCCGGTGTGACTGGTGCGACATGTCTGCACGTGCCCGTCTCGCGAGCCATTCAATTATAATAAATCATCGCAGCAGCAGCAATCATCGTCATCATCATCATCACCGCCTCCTCCTCCCTCCTGCGACGAGTGGACAAGGACGCTCTTGGAAAACAAGGGAGTCACGCGACTCGCCGAGATAGCCCAACGTGTCACCGCGTGTGTGTATTGCGAGCCGGTGCTGGGCCTCCCCTAGGTGGACTCGGCCTCAAATGAGTGTCCTGCTACGATGTGTAAACACCGCTCACCGGGGAGACAAAGGCGGCCGGGCGTGATGCTGGCCACCCACCGGCTCGCGTGCCGTGCCATCAGCCTGCTGAAGGCTATACGGGGGATCTTTGTGTGTGTGTGCGCGCGCGCGTGAGCGGCAACTTGCCTTGATCCCCGTAGCTCTGTCGACCGCCTTCTTCACCGTCCCGTACGTGCCCTTGCCGAGGGTGTGGAGGAAGTCGTAGCGGTGTCTCAGGTTGTGCTTGTGCTGGTGCCTCTTCACCGCCTGCCTCCTCGTCTCGTCGCCGGAGACCCCGGCAGCCGGTCTCTCGCACGGGACCCCCACGGCGTGAAGGGGCCCCGCCGCGGCAGACTTATCCAAGCTGTGGCGGCTGCTCAGAACTCGTACCAGACGATTCATGGTCGATTTGCCGTTTTGGAGCATGACTCGCGGCTCAAGTCCTAAGTCGGTGGTCTGGGATGCGCGCGTCTAACAAACTCACTGCTTCGCCGATCTTCGACCCTACCGCCAGCGCGAGCTTACGGAGCGCAGTTTTCAGACCGACCGCTCGCACCCTCTCCAATGCGAATATAATTAGCGGACCGGGGGTCACAGAACCGTCAGGCCCCGACTGCTGCTTGCGTGCAATGCGTTAGACTCGATCATGCTCCAAGAGCTCTCAAAACGTCTCGGCGAGACTGCGCCCTTTGTTGGGGCCCCCAAACCTCGCTCGGCTCGGGTCGTCTCGCCCGTAGCCTCTCACTGGCTGGCTGGCCCGCCCGCGTGCTGCGCAAGGCTCAAAGTGTTTTTTTGTGTGTGGCTGAGACGCGTCGAGGTAAGCCGCTCCTTTTTATGAGGCCGCGGTGATGTGATGATGTGGCCCCGCCCCTGGAAAAACGCCTCCAACCAACTCCTGCACCACAACAACAACGACGACGCCGCCGACACCGCTGCTGCTCCTGCTGCTGCTACTGGCCCGGCTGAGCGAGTTTTGATGCACGGCAGCTTTTGATTTCAGCCAGAGGTGTCCGGAGCCGAGCTCCGGAAAATATTTATCCGCCCCCCCTACACACACCCCCTCCCGCAGGCGTGGGGGGGGGGGTGTGGATAGGGGACCCCTGGAAAATATGAAATATTCCATGACCCGAATGATTGATATGTTCCAGCCATTCTCAATCCACTGATGGATGAATTCCTCATGGGGGGGAGGGTGGGAGGCGGTGTGGGGGGTTGGCCTTACTTCACAACTCTGGTCAGTGCGGTGTGGGCAGGACCGGTTCGCCGCCACCAGGAATCAATCGAACTGAGGTCGCTCAATCACATAAATAATTATTTACTATATAGAACATGCAGGCTTATTGCAGAACTGCACTCTGCATAAGGCATACTTACGCGTGTATCTTGTAGAGTTTAGCGATGGGGCGTAGCGAACGCGGCTATTGTGTGGGCTCGATTCCGGGCCACGGCTAACATCAGTGGCGAGTGATACATTAATCTCAGTCCTGGGCCCCCTTACCCGCCCCGCACTGACCATCTTGGAGAAGTATGGACAAACAATTAACATCCGTGATCAGCACGGCGTGGGGAGGCCTTCATCCAGGGGCCGTAAACTATACAGGCAAACTCACCGCGTGACGATCAGAACCGGTCCAAGAACCTCGTTGGACCAGTCAGAACCTTGTGATGACTGAGCAAGATTTGGAATCCACGCAGCGTTACGGTATCAATCTGAGCCGCTTGATTGGTCGGCTCTAGGAGTGCGCGTGCAGCACCAACGCGGTGCCACGACCCCCAGATAGTTTAAACCGTGAAGGTCAATCGATGAAAAACGAAACGTCGACTTCCCCCTGTCCTCAACGGGCGAAAGTAAGGATTATTTGCTGCCGTTCGCTGCGGCACATTCATCATCATCAATAATAATACCGTACAGAAATAATGTACAGCTTTCAGTGTAGCATCGTTCATGCAAATTGCAAATCTCACAATCGCTGAGGAATGAGACTGGCGGGCTGGGAAGGTACCAGCCACGCGGTCACGAGCCGGCACTACCCACAATTGGCCAAGCTCTGCGTTGCTCTATCTATTCAGATATTTTAATCCGATAAAGGAGTGTTTTGTACACATTACAGCAGTTTCGTAGAATTCGGACATACGTAAACAAAGGAAAGAACAATAATATGTATATGCGTGGATTATGTAACGCATTCTAAATTGTTTTTTTTACAGAAGCATTGAATTAACTGTATGGAAGCGTTTGCATATTTGCATATTTGTTCCCCATGGTTTGTTTCTCCAAGGGGCGCCGCTGCGGTGGTGAGGAGACGTCATCTCCCTCGTCTGCAGTGCAGGGAGTTTGCAGGTTCGATCCCGGACCCTGGCGGCGCCTGTTGTTATATTTGGAGTCCGTGAATTCTCTTTTTTTTCCCCCGTTGTGGTCACGTCATATTTTCCTCCGGGCCCTACGGTTTTTTGCCCTCCAAATTAGGAAAATATGCGTTGAGCTTATTTGGCTGCGAAAATGCATCCCACGTGTAACGACAAACGCCACGTCAATGGGCCATCATGTGTGAGCAGGTCGACTCTGAAAACGAGAAAAATAGCTCAGGTGACCCACCCCTACTGTGCAAAAAGAGCTTCAGAGCTCATCGGATTTTTCCCCAGTCTAAATAACAACACAAACTAAAGATTCTGGCTATGCCTAGGAAATACAATTAAAAAAATAGTTTTTAGCCGCTTAAATCAGGTGAAGGCCATGATAGCAACACAACCTCATTCGATAGTTTCCTTAAAATCGGGGTCATTTTTTACGATAGGTTTGAGTGCTCCCAACCCAATAAACGCCTTTCTTGTAAGACAACAACAGACAAAGATTCCCCGGTATCGCCTGTAAACGTACTGTTGGGGCAAGTGCTGTTAGCGAGCACCTATGAAGACCGGCAGGGCTCACGAAGGGGTGGGTGGCCAACACCACGCCCGGCCGCCTTCGTCTCCCCAGTGGCGATGTTTACTACACACCGCACCAGGTACTCATTTGAGGCTGAGTCTACGTAGAGAATGCCCAGGATCGGTTCAGATAATCATCACTGGTGTTTGCCGTGAGCGGGAATAGAACTCGGATCGCCGGGTTCGTAGCGCAGCGCGCTAAATATGAACGTACCTTTTAATTGGCATCGAACAGACGCGGCTGCAAGCAAATGCGGTCCTCGACATTAATTCACAAACGTGGCCACGAAAACGGGTGTCAGCTCAGCAGCCGCCGTGCTGGCAACGCTCGTCATCGACGCGGGTGCCTTCATGAAGCCCTCTCACGTGGGCGGGCCCCGCGGCTGTCTGGAGAGGCCATCCACCAAGGCAGGAAACCCAGAAAAAGGTGCCTCTGAATAAACAACGTGTCCGATCCCATTGTCGACAGTGGATTTCGCCGGATTAGAGGGCTGTTGTTTGGCTGATTATACACGCGGCGTGATGCGGCAGTCTGACAGCTTAATTATCGTGAATGTTCGGGGCGGGGGGGAGTCCAAATAAGGACACCGCAAGGGCCGTTTGTTCTATGAGCAATTGATGTCGTCTAATTTCGACTTGTACACTTGTTCGTTCACTTTCGGAGAGAGAGAGAGGACGACTCAAAGGCGCCAGGAGGAAGATCCACAGACGAGTGAGGAATGCAGCAGCAGCAGCCAGACGAAGCTAAACTTTTATTTTTATTTTTACCAGGTAAGACCGACTGAGCTATATAGCCGAAAATGATAGCTCAACGGAGTTGCGGAAATTTATAGCAGACAAAGACTCTAAACGCACGTTGATTATAAATGTGGAGGGAATACCCCGACGGCCCCAGAGAAAAACCTACGCGACCACGGAGAGAACATACGACCTCCAAATATACAGCAGCAGCAGGCGTCAGTGTCGGGATCAAAACCACGACCTCCTGCACACCAGGCGAGGGAAATAACATCTCCTCGCCACCTCGGCGAGATCAGCCGGCGCCAAATCCAGCCCTTCCCAAGCTCCGCGGTCCTTGATATGTGACGGTGTTATCGGCCAATGGATGATGGTTTACACGTGGGAGGAATCCCACGCGTGCGAGGGAGGCGGCAAGTCGATCCAGACGTGTGGAGGGAACACGTGGAGTCCACTCTCGCCGTAGCGCCATCTCCTTGCGAGCCACGGTACGACACCTCGACGCTCAAGGGATGGGAGTTTTTTTTACACCGGATCTGTGTGTGATCCACCAACCCCCGCTGCTGCCTGCAAAGCGCTGGACCACCGCCTTTTAATCGCCTATAATTTGTCTGGACTTCCAAAATCTGCCGGGTTGCGAGGTGAGAGACCGGCAGATGGCAGTGCCCCAAGCGGGTTCCAGGAATTGCCTGACAGGATCTTTGAGATGCGTGTCGGGTTATCTCGTCATTATTGATCTTATTCTCCATAGTTCCACCTATAAAACGAGCTCGAAAAGTGATGCCATATGCGTGGGTTCCGTAACGCGTCCCAACGAGCGCTTGCCAACACGCGTACGTCATCGGAATGACAACAATCGCCTGGATTGATGTGGGAGTGGTGGTCGGTGCAGTGTCGAGGGGCAGCACGCGTGGTAATCTAAGGCCCTCTAGTGGACAATGTTCGCCATGCTGCTGCAGCTGCTGCTGGAACCTACACATTCCAGTAAAACACTTTTGTCTCTTTAGTTTGTTGTACCCCGAGGTGAACATTCGACCAAACCGGGATTGAGTCTCGTCTGCAATAGCGACCTTGGGTGGCATCAGTCTGTCAGTACGGGGCGTTGATTGCTGCTGTGTGCTGGGAGTATAATCCCAATTGAACAATCGACCGGACCATGACGCCCGCCGCACGATGGCCCTTAATTCTTGCGATTGACGGCCACTGTGAAGCGTGTGGTTTAGTGCACCGGCAGTATTCATCAGGGCGGCCGCTGGACTCGAACCGTGAACCTCTACGGACTTGCCGCTAGGCCATGTCACTGCCCTTTTGGTCGACCCACTGCTGGATGAAGGCCTCCCCAACATCGTCTCGGCCGTGCTGGTCGAATGCCCATACTTCACCGCGCCGGTCAGGGGGATGTCCATGGCGGGTCGACGTAGTTCCTCCCCACTGATTTTAAGTCGTGACCGGGAATCGAACTCCGCTTTGCTGGGTTCATCGCAATGTGCGCTAACCACTGCGCCACCCCTCCTCCCTACAATACAGACTGCAAGAGCATGTGACATTGGACTCGATGCAATAAATAATACAGTTTAGAAACGTAGAATACCTCCCGTGCGATTGTCTTGGGGAACACGTTCGGTCAACGGACATTTTGCAAATTAATGTTCCTACCATTTAAGAAAAATCATCCTCCTCCTCCTCAGCCATGGTCAATTCACTCCTGGATGAAGGCCTCTTCAATCCGTCGCTATCTCTCACGATCCAGCGATATAATAATCCCACCCAGCAACTGCTGCACACGAGATGACTCCATCGCGCCGTCTCCCGGTGGACTTCCACTCGAACGCGATCCGTTCCTTGGCGCAAACGATTCCCAATTCTACAGCCTGCATGATTGCAACAGAGGATTGGTCATTGCTGCTGCTGATTATGATTGATCTAATTTAGTGGATTATAAATCAACGCAGTATCATGTTCATGCTGCAGGTCAGTGGGAAGAGACATTGATTTCTCAATATCAATAAACATATCAATTGGCGCAGTTACCAACACCAGGACACGACACAATGCATAACTCGACATTCGACCGCACCTGAAAGACGTTATGTAAGTGTAATCGCTCAATTTAGCTCAATTAGATAGTGGACTTAATGTGACGCTCTACCGATTCAAACGTGGCCCTGATTCGAAGATCATTCATCAGACAAAATCAGGGCGCTTAATGGCGAAGCACCACTCCACGCCACGGTGGCTAGGAGATGTTAACTACCTCGCCTGGTATGCAGGAGGTCGTGGGTTCATTCCCGACCATGACGATTCCTGTATATTTGGAGTTTGTGGTGTCCCTCTCCGCGGTCGCGTGGATTTTCCTCCGGGTTTTCCACATTTAAAAACATGCGTTTCGAGTATTTGGCTGCTACACATTTCCAAATGATTAAGCCACTATCATTTGTGATAGCCAGGTCGCTTCCGAAGAAGAGCTAAATAGCTCAGTGGACTCATCCGCCTGTTCAATTTCGCCCCCCCCCAACGACCCCTTTTTGTTGCCAGGTGCCAGCATAGCCCCCCCCCCCCGCCCCGACCCGTGGGTCCCGGCGCAGTTGCACCGCCTGCGCACTCGATAGCTATTGCTGCTGTCGTCATCGCCGTCGATGACAGCAGAGCGAGTAGAGAGTTCAAATTCTCGTAGCGATCATCGCGGTACGGCTCGTGATGACCTGGGTAGATGAAAGAAGCGCATTCTGGGGAGGCTGCCCCACGTGTGGCGATACGTGAACATCTCCTACCATCATGAGCTTCATCTCCGTGGCGGAGGTCCTCTCGGACGTGTTCCCTCCGTTCGGCTGCCCGCTCCGCCGTTAACCTCCACCGCCGACCACCAAACCGTGCCCAAACCGCACCCAAGCCGTGCCTACACCGCGCCCACTCGACTCGCGTTACGAATGCATTATTAGGGCTGCAAGCGCCTGCAAGGGGCGCTAAACGCACGGGACGCGTGTTAGTACGGCCACGTCCGCTCGGATAAACTCACCCAGACCCCCCGTACTCGACGCGATGTCAATTGCTCACCCGATTAGCACGGCTGGCGAGGTACGGTGGGAAATAAGTTCAACATGCGGACGTTAAATTGGCGACCGAGGCGCAGCCACGCAAGGGTTGGTGGACCACGCAAATATCTGTGAAACGTGCTGCGATAGGGTCAGGGCAGTACGACAAGTGGGGTTGCGAACCCGTGTGCGTGGCCTCGTGGTGTGCACGTCGAGGTGCGAGTCGCACATCACAGTGCATGACCCACCTCGAAATGTCCCATGCACAATCGTGCACAATCCACTGCTGGATGAGCGCCTCCTTATCTAACCATACTTCCCCCATTGCTGATCAGTGCGGGTTTGGCAAGAGCGAACGGAGCATAGACGTGGGCGCATAGACGTACGGTACAACAAAGGAATGTTCGCTGCACTGCTGTAGACCACGTGGCCCAGTCTGCTGAGCCTGAACAGTGCTCGAATGGGTGACCACCACGCGTAGTCGGTTGTTGTAGGCTGCAGAGTTACGTTGCGGGCATCAGAGGGCAGTGTCCACCGTTGTACTGCACTTCTAGGCTCCCGCGTCTTTTGCTCAGCGCCTTCACCAACCGGCAATTGCCAACATTGTGACGCGTGATCATATGACCTCCACGACCTGCAGAGACGTGGGATGGGGGGTGGGGGGAAGCCCTCGTGGAGCAGTACATCGCGCAGCATTCCCTTGCACGTGTCAAATGCTTGCCCTGCCTTCCGCCGTGTTGGTGGTCTCCCATCCAAAGCACGATTCCAGGGCTCAGGCGCACCGTAGCTTCCTAGAGAGAGAGAGAGGACAGGGCCGGGCACATCGGTCAGGCGTCCGTGTAAATGCAGATCAGCGTACAAACGCGCAGCGAATGAGCCATCACTTTTGATCAGACTAACGCTGAATTATTTAGTCGTTGAGCCGCGCATTTGTTGGCTATTGTGCGACTCGCGCTGCTCTTAGGACAGCGCAGGTGGGAGAACGGTGGGTGATGTACAATGTTAAAAACACGTTTTAAACAAAGGGGCCTTTATATAGACACTGTATACATCCACTGGTGGATGGAACAGACACACACACACGTTGTTTTTTACGTTTACGTTGCCAGGTAAGGCCCGCTGAGCTACATAGCTCTTTTTCAGAAGCGACCTGGCCACAAGTGATAGCTCAACGAAATGGCTTATTATGTGGACATTTATAGCAACCAAATACTCTAAACGCATGTTTCTAAATGTGAAGGGGAGAACCCGGACAAATATCCACGCGACCACGGACAGAGAGACATGCAAACTCCAAATATACAGCAGGCGTTAGGGTCGGGATCGAATCCACGACCTCCTGCATACCGGGCGAGGTAGTTAACATCTCGCCACCGGAGCACCCAAAATAGGCGGAAATAAGGGTCCATGGGGGGGGGGGTCCAGAATATTTTAACCGGTTCTGGGCACCCCCTAGGTCGACTCAGCCTCAAATGAGCACCCGGTTCCCTGTGTAAACACCAGCATTTGGCAGACAAAGACGGCCGGACGAGGTGCTGGCAACCCACACAATGAACATCGTCACACTATGTGACTTACGACGACGTTTTGCGATACGCTGCTTTGAACAAGGTGCATGCATCGTATCACATAATGACGACCGGCTATCCGTGTCAACGATATCCTCGCGTTATTGTGATTACTACTACGCATGTCAAAGGTCAAAGGCGCAGCCGCTGGCAAGTGCTTGATTGCACGACCTGTCAGCGGAAGGGCCTCCGCTCGAGGAAATTCTGGAGAGCCCCCTCGAAGGCACTTGGCCTCCTCTTCCCCAACTGGACATGTCGTGGAAGAGCTGGGGCAGCGGATCGACTGACTGCGGTGGTCACACATATCGATCTGTTATCTGTCGACTGTCTGTGATGTGGGATTTCATGAACTCGTCCGTTGTTTCGCCTGCCGCGCCTGGAGATTAACAATCGAACTGGCGCCCTGCGGATTGCAAGGTCACTGTGACGAGACTCACACACGCGGACACTCACGAAAAGAATGCGTGTAGCCCCTCCGTCAGCCCACTGCTGTCGGCAAGTGGAATTTGTTTTTGACTTCATGACGTTGATCAGTGCGGGTTCGTTTAGGGGCGGGGGGGGGGGAATATGGGCGGCTATGACATCACTCGCTACTGATGTTAGCCGTGGCCGGGAATCGAACTCGGAGCCACCGGGTTCATAGCGCAGCGCGTTAACCACTGTGCCCCCCCCCCATCCCACAGTGCAGTAATTCAATTCTGTCATATAATACGGCATATCGCAGTAGTCTCAGTGCACACACGGGCGGTTAGACAATAGATTACACTTCTACAACGGAGGAGTACCATTCCTCACATTTATATTCGCAGTGTCTCGAATGATCACGGGGATGGGTTCAGTCTCCTCAAGGGACGATGCATTATTGTTATTATAATCATCATTACACGCGTAATTTGAGTCGTAACTTGCAAATTGTGATGTTGTGGCCGGTGCAACCAAATTTCCCCAGATTCGTGTGCAGCTGCGCTCCATGTAGACGACCCGGCATCTTTCAGTGCGGCTCCACGGCCAATGTAGAGACGGAGCGACGCGGATCACAGATGCAGAACCTCCGCGACCAGGTGTCCAGCTAGCAGTGGATAAAGACTGGATGGCGATCATAATGATAATGCTGGTGGTTGTGGTGGTGACGATGGTAGTGGTGGTGATGATGATGATGACAGTGCTTGCTTGTAATGACTACGTTGCTGGTGGTGGTGATGATGATGATGGTCGTGGCCCTGGTGATGATGATGGTAGTGATGATGATGGTAGTGGTGGTGGTGATGACGATGGTAGTGGTGGTGATGACGACGGTAGTGGTGGTGGTGATGATGGTAGTGGTGGTGATGACGATGGTAGTGGTGGTGATGACGATGGTATTGTTGGTGATGATGGTAGTTGTGGTGGTGATGATGGTAGTGGTGGTGATGACGATGGTAGTGGTGGTGGTGATGATGGTAGTGGTGGTGATGACGAAGGTAGTGGTGGTGATGATGATGGTAGTGGTGGTGATGACGATGGTATTTTTGGTGATGACGATGTGGTAGTGATGGTGATGACGATGGTAGTGGTGGTGATGACGATGGTAGTGGTGGTGATGATGGTAGTGGTGGTGATGATGGTAGTGGGGGTGATGACGATGGTAGTGATGGTGATGACGATGGTATTGGTGGTGATGATGATGGTAGTGGTGGTGATGACGATGGTGGTGGTGGTGATGACGACGGTAGTGGTGGTGATGACGATGGTAGTGGTGGTGATGATGATGGTAGTGGTGGTGGTGGTGACGATGGTATTGTTGGTGGTGATGACGATGGTAGTGGTGGTGATGACGATGGTAGTGGGGGTGATGACGATGGTAGTGATGGTGATGACGATGGTATTGGTGGTGGTGATGATGGTAGTTGTGATGACGATGGTATTGGTAGTGATGATTGTAGTGGTGGTGATGATGATGGTGGTGATGACGATGGTAGTGGCCCTGGTGACGCCGGTCACTGTGGCGAGCTACTGATTGCGTGTCACTATAATATTACGTCTGATGATGCTTATTGTGATGCCGGTGCTGGCGATGATGATCGTGATTGTAGTTTTTTTGTGGTGCTGCGAACAATAATTTCACTCCTGATGATGACGACGGTGATGCTGGTGGCGCTTGCACTGATGATGATGTGCAACTGGTGGTGGTGATGATCGCTTGCTGGTGGCGATGCCGGTATAACAATAACATCACGACCGATAACTCCGCTTGTACTGATGCCTCTGCGAGTGATGAGAGGTGGTGCCCGCACAAGGAGTGTGATGCGTGACGGGGGGGGTGCGGGCAGCTTTGATGATCATCAGTGACGTCGGCAGACAGACCTGCCGGGTGTTGCCCGCGTCTCTCCTCGACATCGTGACGTGTGCGCAACCGCACGCAGATAGAAGGGAGCGCCCACTCATCACGGACTCGCGGAGAGAGCACCACCACCCACCACCACCCACCATCACCCCCACCACCACCCACCACCACCCACCACCCACCACCACCCCCACCACCACCCACCACCCACCACCACCCACCACCAACCCCACCACCACCCACCATCACCCCCACCACCACCCACCACCCACCACCACCCACCACCACCACCCCCACCACCACCCACCACCACCCACCACCAACCCCACCACCACCCACCACCACCCACCATCACCCCCACCACCACCCACCACCACCCACCACCCACCACCACCCCCACCACCACCCACCACCACCCACCATCACCCCCACCACCACCCACCACCACCCACCACCACCCACCACCACCCACCATCACCCCCACCACCACCCACCACCACCCACCACCACCCACCACCAACCCCACCACCACCCACCACCAACCCCACCACCACCCACCACCACCCACCACCACCACCCACCACCAACCCCACCACCACCCACCACCACCCACCACCACCACCCACCACCACCCCCACCCCCACCACCACCCACCCCCACCACCAACACCACGCGCGCGCGCGCGCGCTCTCAACAGTCGCCAAGACCCTCGGTCGCACTCCGCGCGCCTCGCTGAGCGCGCCGCTCATTGGATCATGAATTCGGGACAACAACGACACCACCACCAGCACCACCAGCAGCAGCAGCAACAACAACAAGAAGAGCAGCAACAACTGTAATAAAATAAAACACTAAAAACAAATAGTCACCTGCTGGGCGGGTGCTTCATGGACCCTCGGATCGAATTGCTGCAATCGTTGTCGACGGTCCAGGTACGTGCAGATGTCAGTGTGCCTGAGTTTAAAGATGATGATGATGATGATACTATTATAAGTTACACGCGCAATATGTATTGTGCTCGTACGCACTGATTATAATGGCCACACTTGATACGTTGCAGTAGCGGTTGTGAAGTGTGGGGATAATGATGTTGATGATAGCTATCTAGTGTGCGTGTGTGGGGTTTTTTTTGGGGGTTGTACCGCCGCGCATCATTCGGCAACTGCGTTTCCGATGTTTCGCCGGAAGCCCTGGGAGCCTCTTCAGTTCCTCGAAGAAGCCCGTCGTGCTGTGAGCAACACGGGGGAGCAACCCGAACGCAACATCAGAGTGAATGATACAACGGCGGCGGCAGCCTGCCACTGCACGGTGTTGCTGATTGTGGATCGTTCCCGCGGCACCGCGCTTCTCTAGCGAATATCTTCTGCCAAGCGGCACCGAGCAACTCGTGTGCGTATCGTGTGTGTGTATGTATGTGTGTGTGTATGTGTGTGTATCGTGTGTATGTGTGTGTGTATGTGTGTGTATGTGTGTGTATCGTGTGTATGTGTGCGTATCGTGTGTATGTGTGCGTATCGTGTGTGTATGTGTGTGTATCGTGTGTGTATGTGTGTGTGTGTATCGTGTGTGTATCGTGTGTGTATGTGTGTGTATCGTGTGCGTATCGTGTGTGTATCGTGTGCGTATCGTGTGTGTATGTGTGTGTATCGTGTGTATGTGTGTGTATCGTGTGTGTATGTGTGTGTGTATGTGTGTGTATCGTGTGTGTATGTGTGTGTTTCGTGTGTGTATGTGTGTGTGTATGTGTGTGTATGTGTGCTAGATTCCCTACTGTGTGCCCCGAACCCAATGTTGCTGCTGATGATGATATCCATTGTGCCAATCCCACTCGGGAACACACGCGTAATGAGCACAGTGCATCAGCTTTTTTATTTTTGCCAGGCCAATGTTAGCAGGCGGGAAGTGTTTAAGCAAGTGCACGTTGTGCCGATTTAGACCTTCTGGCGATCATCAGCAGGCTTGTTAAAACAATGCCGATAGATCACCGGATGTTGCTGGCAAAATAGCACTGCACGTATCAGCAACAACAGCAGCATCCACTAAAATGTGGGCCCTTTGAAGTTGCACGCCGTTTGCTATTTGTGGGAAAATATTTTTGTCCGTCTAGATTTGACGAAATTTGGCAAATTAATCTCAGAAAATTATCACTAATGTGCAGCAATTAGCAGCGATGATGGGATCTTGAGTGCAGTAAACCGACGCATATATATTGTTTTCGTGATGCCACTGCGCCGGCAGTGGGTGCACAAGCACAGACAACACAACCTCCACACAATCCTTCCATTGCACAGTTAAAGTGTGGACAAATAAATATAACAGGTGATGTTTCGAGCCATGACCCTTCTTCACAGTAGAGAGAGATGAAAATTATCCAACCGTGCAGCAATTCGCAGCAGAAGCGGTGCTATAAATGGACGCAGTAAATTAAAAACACAACGATTTGTGTAGTAATTAGCAGCAGCAGTAGCAGCAGCAACAATAAATAACATGCGCATTCAATCCCCACGCAACCCCCCAGTACCTCTGAAGATAAGATGCAGGGGATAAGCCATGCGGAACGCTTTAATCAGACCCGCTGGTTTAGAATCCAAATTTCGTCTCTCCCTGTTAACTGCTTGAGCAGTGTCGGCAAGAAGCCACGAACGAACAACGCGGGTCCCAAGTAGCTCAAGGGGAAGCCGAATTAATTTTGCACAAATAGGGGGCGCACCGTATATCAGCTCCTATTCAAATTCCAATAGAGACATACCGATCTAATTGACGTTAAATATCGTTTAATCTCTCTCATCTCCACCCTGTCCGCATCTTACTTCTTCTCTCATCTCACGACACCTCTCAGCTCAGTCGACTAATCCTGCACTGCAGAGGCAAGGGTTGGTGGATCGCACAAACGTTGCGAAATCTCCATCCCCGTAGGGCGTCGATGAGCAACCGGAGCAGCGCGGTGTGGCGGGAGAGGGCGGCACAGAACACGTGGACTCCACGTGCTCCGCCTGCATGGGATCGAGTGTTGCCCCCTCTCCGGATGCTCCGGTTTCATCTCTCGCATAAACACTCATCAATTGGCCGATATCGCCTTCACATAGAGAGAGAGAGAGGACCGCAGCGCTTGGGCTAATTGTTTATAGAGCCGGATCCGCGGTTCGTGGCTTCTCCTCGCGCTTCGGAGTCGTCCCCCCCCCCTCCCCCCCGAGAGCGAGCGACTCCTCTGTGCCGGCGGCGCGTTACAAGCTTGACGTCATTTTTATTCTTACATTCATCTTATCTCACACACTACGTCTCTAGCTCTTGTCTATATATATAGTCATCTCGCTAGCTTTTGAAATGGTGGAAGAGATAGAATGAGGAGGAGGAGGCAATTAATTTTTGATGAGGGCCCTCCAATGGGCTAGCACCATTGCACTGTTGCTCGGGGGCTGACAGAGAGAGGAGTCGCGTTCAAAAAAAAAAATATTTCCAGAAGGACGCGAGGGTCGTGCCCGCGATTATGCGCAGAGGCGCCCGCGCCGCGTCCACCACCACCACGGTGGAGGCGAGACACGACGTGCATCGTAGGCTTTTGTGCACAGCATCGTGTCTTGCTTTCTCACTGTACGTACGTACGTTGGACTTCTTTCGCACCGTGCGTCGCCAACCGTGCAAATCGGAGGTGCGCGGGGGAAAGACAACAACCTAAACACAGAAAAGCAGTGCTAAATAAGTACGTTTTCAATTTCGATTTTAAAGTGCATAGCACCGGTGGATTCCTAAAATCGGACGGAAGAGCGTTCCAGACGGCCGCAGAAGCGCATCTGAACGCGCGCGATGCAGTCACCGTCTTTGTTCGATGGCCAGCCAAAGCTGCCGTGAGGATGATCGGAGTTTGCGTGATGGTTTATGCTCCTTAATCAGGGCCCTGTAATGTAGACGGAGTGCCCTTGTCAATAACATCTGGCAGCATTTGTTCCACAAGGCTGACTCCGCTGATGAGATCCAGGAAGGCTCAAATCGGTCCGGAGCTCCCTTTTGACGAGGCACGTGTCGCTGGATAGACACCGGCCTGGAAAGCGAATGTAGGCGCATGGACTTAAACGTGTTTCGTTTATGTGTGTGTGTTGAACTTCTTTCGTACCGTACGTAGCCAACCGTGCCAACCCGGAGGCACGGTGCTGAGGTCTGAATATAGCCACGATTACCCCACGACGGATAATTCGAATTGTGAAGCAAAGTAGGCTGGGGCAGGACTAGGGAGAGCACGTGTGTCTGGATGGTTCGTCGACCGCGGAGATGGAGCGATGGAATCCGCTCCGATGCAGGCGTTTGGGTGGATTGTTGTTACATCGCTCGATCGTGAGATATGGCGGTGCGCTCGAGGATTCACTATCCAGCTGTGGATTGACCATGGCCGATGATGATGATGATGATGCAATAATGAATTTGTTATTGAGTTAAATGTTTGAAGTCTTCTAACGCAACACTCGTTCACGTGTCAACAATAATCACTTAAAGTCATTTTACAGCCGAGTTGTCAATCCCACTGCTCTATCAAGATGTCCCCGTGCGTTGCGCAACAGTCATGAGGACTGTTTAACCATACTTCACCACCGCTGCTGATGATTGATGATGATATCGTGGCAAGACGGCGGCTGTGTCTTTGTCTTCGAGTGTCTGTATGAGTGTCTTGCTGTGGGAAGCGGTTAGAGCGCTGCGCTACGAACTCGGCGACTCCAGTTAGATTCCCACTCACGGCCAACATGAGTGACGATTATCTGAACCGGTCCTGGGCCTCCCCTAGGTCGACTTAGCCTCAAAATGAGTACCTGGTGCGGTGTGTAAACATCGCCACTCGGGAGACAAAGGCGGTCGGGTGAGGTGCTAGCCACCCACCCCCTCGTGTACCGTTCCGGCCTTCATAAGGGTGCTCGCTAACAGCACTTGCCCCTACAGTCTGTGAAAGGCTACACGGGAGATCTTTGTCTTGCCGTGGGTTTAACTTTGACATAAGATGATGATTACCCGTTTGTGTAGTGTGTGTGTCCGTGATAAATCACCTGTTACGCAAATGCATTTTCCCCGTCTTGTCACAAGGCGGATTAAATATTAAAGCGCCTGCGTTGACAGCGGCGTTCGAGACAAACAACCACAGCCAGACTCTGGAGCATTGTCTGGAACGTCACAGCGATGTAACATAGAACGACACTGTCTGGCCATGCTACTGATGATCATGCTGCTGATGTTGCTGCGTTGGCAGTGGTGCACAAGCACCTGAAGTAAAAACAATATAAATAACGTGCGACGTTTCGTGCAATGGCCCTTCTTCATAGCAAATTAACGTATGATATCGGATGACGTTTTTGTCCAATGACCCAGCCTTCGGAGCTAAGCATACTGCAGTGCGCTAAGCACTGCACCGCTACTGCATCACATTGTGATATCACCACCCCATCACAATCTTAAACTGCAATAGAGGCTATCGCCTAGTTAACATGCGATAGCAGTCCTATGCTACGAGTACTAGTAGCCGAGAGAGGGGGTTTTACAGACTTCTATCGGCGTTAGCGTCACACTCCACGGAAGGAAAACAACTTGGTTCACTGATGGTGGGACTCGTGTATGCGTAAGTGTTCAGCACGAGACTTGGAGCAATGCAGCACCTTCGTCCGACTCGGCACCACGAGTGAAACCAATCTGTCTCCAAGCTGTAATGCTGGGAGCCACAATGCAAACAATTTGCTTTGTATGATTAATTATAATCACATATTCATAATAAAGGTTTTTGGTGAGATCGCGTCAGTATAAATGTGTCGTAACCCTCCACCACTCGACACAGCCGGTAAGGTTTGTCACGTAAACAAAACGCGCCAAATAGTTTCTCCTTCAGCCCACTCTATAAGCACATAACTTGATTGTGGAATAAATTAATATTTTACCAACCTTTGCTAATCCACTGCTG